ACTGGGAGCCCCAGCCTGCGCCCGTGGCCTGCCGGCAGCCCCGGGAGTGGGTGGGGAGGCGGGCAGGAGCTGCCCGCTGTGCGCCGTGAAGCTTCATTAAGCGTACAAGTGGGCCCGGTGTGACCGGGTTTTAGTGCATCGTTACAAGAGCTGGTGATGAAGGCTGCGAGTGCTGGATGACCCACAAAGCGGCTGCGAGGAGGATTTACCGCAGGCTGCGCACCGCCAACGCTCCACCTGAATAATGAAGCTCTGGACGGAGTCGCCGGCCCCAATCGCCCGTCCGTGCCCGGCCAGGCTGCCTGAGCTGCCATGCGCTCCGCGGATGAGGCCTCCCCTTCCAGATGGGCTCCTGCCTGCTTGGCCAGGCGGCCCGCGCTCGCAGCTCCGAGCACGCCTCACCGCCCCCACTGCCGGAGCCTGCGCGGGGCCTCCCAGCACGTCCTGCCGGCAGCCTGCCCAGAATGGCAGGAGGCTGGGAAACAGGCCCACGATCTCGGGGAGGGGTACACGTGTGCCCCTCTGGAGCCGTCCCACACCTCCCTGGAGGGCCGGCCCTAACTGGCTGGAGCCACGCCCATGCCTGATCGCCCCTCGGGCTGGGCCGTGTCCTAAGGCTGTGGAGGCTGTTTGGCGTCACTCGGCCCTGCAGGAGACGTAAGCTTGCAGCATTGGGGAGCCACCAAGGACAGCGGCCAGGGCAAGACCCGCACCCAGGACTCCGCTGGGATGGTGCAGTTAAGATGGGAGCGCATGGAACAGGGAGGACAGGGCGCAGCAGGCAGGCGGGTGTGACCAGGAAGTCGCTGTCAGACCCCAAGATCCGCTCACAACGGGACACCTACAGCCGGCACTGCAGTGCCCGCAGAGCCCGCCAGGAGGGTGGGTCTCCGGGTGAGCGAGGTCCGGGCATGGTAGCTAGCCCCACACGAGGAGGGAGCAGCCTGGGCCCAATGCTGCAGACACCTCTGGACAAGCCTGGGGGCCGGATGCTGCCATGGAGCCCCCTTCCCTGGCGCTCGGCGCCCACACGCAGGCTCAGGCCGCAGAAGGCTCCAATGGCAATTGCTCTGCCCAGACCGGAGCCCATGGCCCTGCTCTCCTCGCAGCTGCCTTCGCCACGTGGGGCTGGGGCTGGAGCACCAGGACGGAGGGCTGGGCCTCCCGGCCTCCCAGGGTCCAATCGGGCACGGGCAGGGTCAGTCTTGAGCTCCGCGGGTGCCCCTAGAAGGCAGCAGGTCCCATGGCAGGAGGAGCCGGTGGCTCGGACTCACCAGCTTCCACCGCTGCTCTGGGATGGCGCTGATGTCCACAGGGTGGCGCTCGATCACGTTCAGGAAGCGCGCCTCAGGGACGGCGATGGCGCAGATCACGTGGATCCACCTGTGGGGTCGGAGGTCACAGGTGCACCTGCCCTCCTGCCACACGCCACAGAGGGGCTGGGCTAGGTAGGGGCAGGGCGGGACAGCTCAGCTGGCACGTTAGGGACCCCAGGACCTTCACCACTGGGTGGTCCACGCCTGCCCCAGCCACCCCAGCCCCGAACAGAGGTGCCGGCACGGCCCTGGCACAGGCACTGGGCGGGCTCTCGGCCTGCACCCACCTCCTGTCGGTGGTCACCTGCAGCGCCCCTCCTCGGAGGTTACACAGACAGCATTCCTGTGGGCCGGACAAGGAGTTGAGGGAGAGGGTGAGCGTGAGGGCCGGCTCCTTGGCCTGGCCCTACCGCCCGTGGCCACCCCGGGCCTGACACTCAGCGCATGGCCACAGCAGGGCCGGTGGTCACTGGCCCACCCTGTCTCGGGAGGGGAGGCCAAGCCCAACGTCGCCCCAGGTCAGGGTGGGCCCGCTGCAGGGGGCCGGTTACCGCAGTCCAGGCGTGGGCCGCGCAGCGGGAACACGTCCAGCCATCTGTCACCAGCTCGGGGCGGATGCCATAGCAACCTAGAAGGCAGGGCGGGCAGCTGAGCCTCGGGGCTGGCCCGCACACGTGGGGACCTCAGGACAACAGAAGGGCAGGACAGCCCTGGCATGGAAGGAGGGCAGGTCCCCAGGGGCCCCCGGCCAGGGTCTAGCACACAGCTCTGCCAGGAAGCAGGCCCAGCCCAGATCCATGAGGGGCCGGGGGCTGACCAAGCAGTGGCCGCCTTGTCCTGTGGCCCAAGCGAGGGGTGGCGGCAGCACTGCCCACTGGGAGGCTGGCCAGGAAGCCCCTCCACGGCCCAGGGAAGGGCAGGAAGAGGGACTTGAAGGGACAGAGCTCTGGGAGGGGCGGCTGGCTGGGTCTGGGGACCCCTGGCCCGCTCTCACCATGAGGGGCGCTGTGGGTGTGAGAGGCACCCCCTGGGCCACTCTCCCTGGGCAGGCTGGGGTGTCCCTGGTCTCCAGGGCAAGGATCAAGCCCGCCCGCACCCGCCCCGCGGCGAGCCCGACACTGGTGCACTCACTGGCGTGGACCTGCAGACAGCACTTGGCGCATGCGATGAGCGGGCTGGTCCCGTCGTCCCCGATGTAGGAGTTGGCGGGGAGCGGCTCCGTGTTCTCCCCGCTGGACGTGAAGCACATCTCGGGGATCAGCGGCCGCGTCCTCTGGCCGCTCTTGGAAGGTGGCCTGGCTGCGGAGCCCTCCCCGAGCGCCGCCGCGGGCGGCTCCTTCTCAGCCTGCAGGGCCTGCGGGGAGCGCCAACCCTTAGGGGAGGAGCACGCATCACCCCGTCTCACGAAATCGCTCATGGGGTGCAGGCGGTGATGCGAGGCTGCCCCACAGAGAAGGCTCCGGGTTCGTGTGCAGAGACGGCCGACACGCGTGGCCAAGACCAGGGCTGGGGCAGGCGCCCACCCCGCCCCGAGACCCTTGGAAAAATGAGCGGGTGGAGAAGTCACGCCCCACCCCAGAGAGCAGAGGCCGGGCCCCCCGGCCCTGGACGCGTCCCCCAAAGGCCCAGCGGCGCTGCCCACGCGGTCCTGGCGAGCAGCAGCCTCCCCCCGCGGGCCTCCGAGGCCCCGGGGCCCC